CGGAGCCCCCGCGCCCTTTTGGAAGTGCCAGAGATTTGGGCCTTTTCTTTTTCTTCAGCATTGTTCCCTTCCACAGACCAAGCTTTCTTTCTCCTCCTGCTTTTTACTTTCCTCCCCCGCGCCTTCCTTTCGGTGGATATGGACAGAAGGGTGATTACTGCAGAGAAGCAGCAGCCGCCAGAACATATTTGAGCCCCGGGTTGCTCGGAGCGTGGCACAGACTTTTTGTATTTCTGTGGGTGGCGTGTGTGTGTGTGTGAGTGAGTGTGTGTGGTGGAGGTGTGGGAGGCGGGATTGGTTTGCCTGGGGGGTTGGCTGAGGGGGTGAGTGCTCGGGTGAAGACCTCTTTTTGCCGTGACTCTGTGCTCCATCGGGGCAGCTTGGAGACTTGGAGGTTTTGAAATTGTAACGAACCAGGAGAAAAGAAAGAAGAGAGAGAGACACGCATACAAAAGGATTTATTTCCTGTTCGTTAGTGGATTGTTAAACCTGAGTGGGAAGGAGAAAGAAACAAGGGTGGGTTGTTTTATTTTGTTCATAATTTTTTTCTTAAAAAAAAAAAATCCCTTAAGTGGATTTGTACCCGAGTGGAAGATAACTGGGGATTTTTGTTGTTTTTTTTTGGGAATAGAAACTAAAAAATGGAGACTGTAAGTAGAAGCAGCTTCCAGCCTCATCCAGGACTGCAGAAGACCTTGGAACAGTTTCATCTGAGCTCTATGAGCTCCCTGGGTGGCCCTGCTGCTTTCTCAGCACGATGGGCACAGGAGATGTACAAGAAAGACAATGGCAAAGACCCAGCAGAACCTGTACTGCATCTACCCCCTATCCAGCCTCCTCCGGTAATGCCAGGTCCCTTCTTCATGCCCTCGGACAGATCCACGGAGAGGTGCGAGACCATCCTGGAAGGGGAAACCATCTCTTGCTTCGTGGTGGGTGGAGAAAAGCGGCTTTGCTTGCCCCAGATCCTGAACTCGGTGCTCAGGGACTTTTCCCTGCAGCAGATTAATTCGGTGTGTGATGAGCTGCATATTTACTGCTCCAGATGCACTGCTGACCAGCTGGAAATCCTCAAAGTCATGGGCATCCTGCCCTTCTCTGCTCCTTCCTGCGGGCTCATCACTAAAACTGATGCTGAGAGGCTTTGTAACGCCTTGCTTTATGGTGGCACCTATCCTCCCCACTGCAAGAAGGAATTCTCTAGCACGATTGAGCTGGAGCTTACAGAGAAGAGCTTCAAGGTGTATCATGAGTGCTTTGGGAAGTGTAAGGGACTCTTGGTGCCAGAGCTTTACAGTAACCCCAGCGCAGCCTGCATCCAGTGCTTGGACTGCAGGCTCATGTACCCACCTCACAAATTTGTGGTCCACTCTCACAAATCTCTGGAAAACAGGACTTGCCACTGGGGCTTTGACTCTGCAAACTGGAGATCCTATATCCTCCTCAGCCAGGATTATACTGGGAAAGAGGAGAAAGCTAGACTGGGCCAGCTCTTAGATGAAATGAAAGAAAAATTTGACTATAACAACAAATACAAGAGGAAAGCCCCCAGGGTAAGTGATGCCTTTAATTTTCAAGGGAGTGGGAGGAGGGGAAAAAAAAGAGTTTTCTCTAATTTCAGTAACATCCGTTGATATACCCAATTTGTTACCAGCTGCTTTTCTTTTGAGTCATTTAGCAGTCTAATCGTGTTCTTAATTCTCACCACGTGTGTGTTAATGTAGACGAGCAGTGAGAGGGCACCTTCTTTTCTCCGGTTGTGTTCTGAACACAGTAGTTGGAGTTTGTTTGAATTATATGTGTATGTTTGTATATCTTGCTGTACGTGGAACCTGATCTTTGAAACCCATCACACTACCCCAGACTTTAGCAGGAAGTATGTGATTTTGGGTTTTTGGAGCTTCAGCTAGGGGTCAAGACAAGCAAGAAGCCAGAGAAAAATAACAGGTACTGATTATTCCAGATGCAAACGTGTATATTTTTCTGCTCAGCTGCATGCTGCTAGGGATGGAGGTGGGGGCTAAAATGCCTAGTGCTCGTATTGGAATAAAATGTGGCTGCGAAGAAAAAATCCTGACAGTAATGCAGGTTACTGGTGTTCAGATTAAGTGCGTGGAACGTGTAATGGAAAAGTCCCTGCTTTTAGACTAACCCTGTGGAGCCTGAATCTCCCCACCAGACAGGCTTTTGTATATTGGATTATGTATACATCCAGTAAATGAATCTGTCTAGGGCCAGCTGCAGCAGCTTCTTAAGGTATGCCGTGCCGAGCCAGACAGCTAAAGCACATTTTTTTTTGCGTGTCTTTTGTTTTTCTTTCAGTCTGAGCTGCCTTTAGATCCCAGAATCCCTGGTGTGTGGGTGGGAGGCTGCCTTGGCATCTGGCACCAGTCGGGATCAATGGGCAGCAGTGCCACAAGGCCTCGAGGACTTGCTTACAGACACCAGGATGTCTGGCTAGCTGGTGATGGTGCAATGGGCGGTGGGATGAGCAATTTGCTTTCTGTTCCTTCCCCCCCCACCTCCCGATAGAAGGTTAAAGCAAACTCTTGGCTGCTTAGTTTTATACTGCAGGTTCGTTGGTTGGATTCTGCCTCATTTTTCAGATTTCTGAACTTTTCTTTGGTTTTGTGTGTCTGGAGGGGAAGGGCAATGACACAAGCATCAAAAGAGAAGCAATATTTAAAACCCACCGAGAATGTTCAGTAAAATTAGTTAACTTACACCAAATACCTGTTTAAAGGGGCAGACACACACTCAGACTTAAGTAGAGCTTTTCTGTATAAAAAAACGCAACAAAAAAACCCAAACAAAATCCGGGGTTTTTAAAATATCTTGCTCAAACAATGCAGTGATTCCTCCAGCTGGCCTAAGAGGCCTAGTTAACCGATTTGATAGGCCTCCACGTGTTTTGATTAAGGAATGGAGTCTCACTCAAGTTCCAGTTTCTCTCCTGGTTTTGTGCTTAGCCCCCGGTTCAATCGCAGTCCTCACCCCTCCTTTTCCTCCCGCTTGAGTGTCAGAACCGCTGTGACAAAGCTGGGCTGTAATGAGCCACATTATCTCCGTGGTTGGAGGTGGATGTGTTTTTAATGGCTTGTCTATTCTCTGTCAGTCATGTGCTAAGATGGAAGAGTGGGATAGATGTATGTGAATGTCTGAGAGGAGAATACGGCTCTGAAAGTGGAGGCATTTTTCATGTTGGGAAATGAATTTTCTAGGGCATGCTTTTGTTTTGGAAGCAAAATTAAGAAGTCTCCATATTGCTCCAGAAAGGTACTGTGTCCCCAGCTTGCTCGTTGCCAGAGTTTAATGGAAATGAATGTTAGTGGAGGTGTGCTCTCCTTTTCTTACAAGCCTTTTATGGCATTCTATTCAATTGTATGATTTATCCAGCACCCCAGGTGAAGTTGCAGGTGGAGAACAAGACAAGACCACTAGGTCTTGGCTTTCCTGACTTTTTTTGGTGACCTTTTAATAGGTCCTAGTTCAGAACATGGCAAGCACTCTTCCCCCACCCTCCAAAATCTGCATACAGCACTTCTTGCAGAGTGAATTCAACATACCTAATCGTGGATGCCAAAAATGATGTAAGGAAACTGTGGCCATCCATTTATCAGAAAATTTTGCCAAAATTCTGTTATCATGAAATGGTAAGTCTCCTGCATAGGTTCATTTGGGAGGTGACAAGGAGTTTGATGGGGAACAGACTGGTAAGTGTGTGCTCAGATGATGGGGTTGAGAAAAAAGTACGCTTTCTCATACATTCTGTGCAGAACTGGGCTTAAGTTTCAAGGCTTTTGAGCTGTCTTCAGGGCTGTGCTATTAATGTGGTGCCGTCTTGAGGAGACCCTGACAGTGCTGGCAGAGTTTTTGTGTGCTTATCCTTCCTTTTTCTGAAGTCTTTTTCCATTGGGCTTAGCCAACGGATATCATCTGCTAAGGTCATTTGTGTTGTAGCAGTGTGTGCAGATGATTATGGAGAGATTTAATCAGGCTCTAAGACTGGTAGACTGCGGCCAGGAGCAAGTAATATTGGAGTGAAGTTTAGATGCCTAGTAAGGAAATGAAAGGATGGTCCTGTGTCTGTGTTAATTCCTGTCAGTCTGTGTGGGTTTTGTGTGCCTGTTGGGTTCTGTGTCTGTCTGTCTGTCTCTGTGGATGAAAGGGTGAAGCATATGTGTCTTTGTGGTGGTCTTCCTTTTTGATGTAGATCTCTGTATTGCTTTGTTCTCTTCCATACAGAGGTGGTTGTGTGTTGTGTGCTGTGATCTGGTGTGTCAGATATTAGGTCTTCTACTTTCAAGAGTGGGCTTTTTGTCAGTTTCCCGATTTATTTGTTTATGTGTGTGTGTATGTGTACACGTTGCTTTGTACGTTGTGTTTTCCCTGGGGCTCTGTTAGTATGTTGGTAGCATGGGATGCATGTGACTGTTTTTATGGCGGTTTAAGAAGCAGTGAGTTTTTGAGCTTTTTGTGTGTCTTCGTGAGGTTTACGCGATGCGGTATGTAGACTTCTGCTAGCACAGCTCTGCCTTTTAAGGATCTGACTTAAATGGAGGAGCTGGGTTGGCACAAGCCCCTGTTGCAGATTCAGCGTACTAACAAAACTGCCTTTTTTTTCTGTCTCTTTTTTTTTTTCTCCTTTTCCTTTTTTTCCTTCATGTGGTTTTAAAGCATTGCTACAAGGCATAGCTTCACCTACGTACTTCATTCCTGACGTGTATTTCTATATGCATCAAGTATCCATTGTGCATACCTATCCATCTATATTGATAGGGGGATATATACATGCAATATAGTGTCCCTCAGCCTGGTTCGTTGAACACGATGCATGTTGCCTGGTCTTGCCACTTCAGAAGAAGCTTTAGTCTAGATCTGTATGAAGTCAGCAAAGGGTCCTAACCGAAAACTGGAGGGAGTTGTGACAGTTGGAGCCCCCATATCCTCCCTGCTCATCCTTGGAGAAGTGATTGACCTCACATAAGCTACTCCACCTTCCTGCCACTTTCCAAAGCTCTTTCTTTTCTTGAACCATATGATGACATCTCCGTTTTCCTTTGTTTGTATCCTTCTCTGGATTTTCCATCTTCTCACATGCTCATGCAGGTTTTTTTTCTGCTTTGTTTTCTCTCTGATCTTTTGGAGTCTTCATGCACCAACACAGCTGTTACTTGGGTGAATGTCCTGTTTCCCTACCTGTCTCTCACTTCATCCACCACTACTGACATGGAGCACGACCATTACGTTCTGGGGTATTTCTAGAAATTCCAAATGTGGATGACCTGATAGGGTTGCAAAACAGGCTCTTAGAAATCCATCATCAGTGCCAAAGCCTTTTTCTTGAGCTCAGCAGCTGGTGCATGTTGAGTGTTCACTTGCTGGTACAGATACGGCCTTGGTGTGTCTCTTACACTCTCTCTCCACTGCTGTGTGACAGACAGCTTTCTGCTTCCTTAACACCAGTATGCCTCTGCTATGTTTAAATTACTTCAAAAAGCAGACCTGAAGGCTTTGTTGGCTGCTATTTCCAGTAAAGGAGGGTGGGCTTTGACTCTGTCTCTTTTGAACCCTTTTTTTTTTTCTTTTTTAAATATTGAACCAAGCAACGTTTGACAGTGCTTTCCTATTCCCTACCTGCGTGCCAGACATCCATCCGTCCATGTATGATCAGACACTAAGAGAATGAGAGCTTTCCTTGCACACGTGTGAACACACCCACACACGCTAGCACTGCCGTGTTCCCACGGTTCAAGTCCCAGCAGCACTTCTATGAAGTAGCTGGAAGCTAGAAGCAGCATTCTGGGTACTGACACACAAATGAGCACAGAAGGCCTCCCACTTTATTTCACAATGCCTACCAACCCGGTGCTGCCACAACATGCAGCTTTCTCAGCTGGAGTGAGGTTTAGCCAGGTCAAGTGTGCAGTCAAATCAAAGAGCAGAAATTGCTGAAAGCGGAATAGTGCAGTACTGACTGAGTTGTAGGGTAGCTGTGGACTTTAGGTGCTGCGCTTGCTTTATGGCCACCTGAAATGCTGCAGTAGTAGAGCTTGAATGTGTGTCTTTCCTGAAGTCCTGCCTCCTGGCAATAGTAATTTTCTTTATTTGTTAATATTATCTATGCTATGGCAGGTATACCAGAGAGGTTCTGATTTTGTTCACAGGCAGTGGTGTTCAGACCACTGGATGGGTTTTTTCTTTTTGGTACAAACTGACTTGATAAATACTCTTGGAAAATTTTGCCTAAGAACTGAGGGTTCAGTTGTTTTTCCATGGAGCAATGAAGTCATTTGTTCTCTTACCTGATGTTCAAGAACTATATTAGAGGTTCTCCAGTAAAAATTTTGAAGTCTCTAAACCAAAAATGTTGAAGTCTTGAGGCAGTAGTCAGCTTAAAAGTTGAACTTCAAAAATGATACCATGCTTAAACAAGATGCTGTGTACCTGAGGAGATGTCGGTGTTCAAGCAGACATCAGCATTTTTGTCCCAAGCTTGCAAACAGTTTTACAGATGTTGTAGTTCGAGAACAAAGAAGCAGGTATGTGCATG